AGCAGGCCTTTCATGAATGGTACCATCATAGGGGTATAAAAATGGAGCGTCCGTCCACTGGGGGAAGGAAGGTGCTAAGTGCTGCAAGATGCACACAGATAGAGCTGAGAGCTAAACCTGATGTTGTCAGGTCAAGGAGGTAATCTAGGATGACAGTAATGGTCACTGTGTCTGGAGAATGGTGGGCAGCAGGCCCACTCCAAGAAGCAACGTCACTTTCCTTGATAGCACTTTCTGATGGATTCTTTTTTGCTCTGGGAAAGGATCTGCTGGATCGGCACAGAACACAAATGGTCTATGTCAGATGCCCATCCAAACACCAGGCTGTGAGGTTAAGTGCGCCTAGGTTAGGATGTTTGAGATGCCTTGAATTGCATGAGAAGATCCCGGAATAACCGAGTCTGATTGGTGGATGGGTGAAGAGCTTCAGGAGATCTGTGAACCAGAACTGTCATGGTCGGCAGGGTACTATGAGGATGATGGTGGCTGTGTCCCATTGAACCTTCCTGAGAACCTGATGCAAAAGGGGAGTGGGGGGGGAAGCACATCGGAGGTGGCCTATTCACGGGGGCAGGAGAGCATCACCTTGAGAGTCTCTGACTACCGCGCCCCTGGAGTAATACAAGGGGAAATTGAGATTCACGTGATGGTCCTAGCTGGGGATACCCCACTGCATGAAGAGGTCAGTCAATACTGTGTCGTGGAGTGCCATTTATGAACCATGTGGAAAGTCCTGCTCAGTGTGTTTGCCAGGGAATTCTGGGTGCGTCGCACATATGCAGTCTGTAAGGTCACTCGGTGTCGGATGCACCAATTCCATGGTCTGAGCAACTCCAAGCAGAGGGAGTGACACCTGATCCCTCTTTGCTTGTAGATGTAGACCACTGTAGCAATGTTATCTGAAAGAATTTATATGCGGAGGTTGCAAAGGATGGGAAGAAAGACTTTGCAGGCAAGGTGAACTGTCCTAAGTTACAGGACATTTATGTGTAGCCTGGCTTCCCTTGGTGTCCACATGCCCTGGCGGTCCAGGTGGGCACCCCATTCCATAAAGGAAGCATCCGTCACAATGGTGGCCTGCGCAGTGGGAGAGTTGAAGGGGGTCCCCGATCATGATTTTGGACGGATTGGACTAACAAGCAAGAGAGGTCCAAACGTCCGAGAGAACGGTGACTCTGGAGTCTATGTGGTTCCTGTTTGGCTTGCAGGTCAGAAGGAGGCAGGTTTGTAGGCATCGCAGGTGGAGTCTTGCAAAGGACATCACGTAGATACAAGCTGCCATGTGCCCCAAAAGGGAGAGGCTTTGGTGGACCGTCATGCAGGGTTTACAGCACACGTGGACGATTTGGATGCTCATCGCCACATCCTCTGTCGGAAGGAAGGTCCATAGAGCTACTAAGTCCATTCTCGCCCCTATAAAATTTATCGTCTGGGTACGTGACAAAACAGACTTATGTTTGTTTACACAGATTCCTAGTGTGACCGGCTATCTAGATGGGCCACAATGAGAATGCCACACTCAGGGCGGACTGCAAGAAATAGGGCAGACAATTCCCAAAACTGGTGGTTTATTGTATAATTAGATTCATCAAGCCAGTAATAAAGGAGCTGCTGCAGTACCACACTGGTTAACAAGAAGCCAAACACAGTCCCCTTTAGGTATTCCAGCCCTTGGCTCCCATCTAGACAACTAAGTCTAATATAGTGAGGGTTACTGAAGCGTGAGTTCTTCAAGGACAGCAGGGATTCATCTGTTTTAGCACTGAAGAGATTGGCTTCAACGAAAGGGAGGTCCTCAATGGTGTTTTGGACCTACTGTGGGAACCCTGATGACTGAAGCCACAAATCCCTGCGCATCACTAGTTTGGGGGCTACAGAGCAGGAAACAGTGTCGGCTGCATCCACTGCTGCCTGGAGGGCCACCTTTGCAACTAGTGTACCCTCGTCAACTAGGGCCTGGAACTGGGCCTGGTCTTCCACAGGGAGCTTGTCCTTAAATTCTGCTAGCCTGCCATATGTGTTAACGTTGTACTTGGCTAACAGAGCCTGGTAGTTTGCTATGTAGAATTGCAGACCTGCCGATGAAAAGGCCCTCCTGCCCAGGAGATCCAATCTTTTTGACCCCTTGTTTGGCGGAGTGGACTTTTGGGGGTGTTGATGGGATTATTCTGTGGCCTCCTGGACAACTAATGAGTTAGGGGCCAGGTGGGTGAAGAGGAAGTCCGCCACTTTAGCCAGCACAAAGTAGCATCTCTCAGCTCTTTTGGGAGTAGGGGCACACAATGCTGGAGTGTGCCACACTGTCCAGGTTGGTTCCAGGATAGCCTCATTTATAGGGAAAGCCACTGGAGTGTCCCTATGACTGGAGGATGTGTTGGGGGTCCTGGACTTCCTCCAGCGGGATCTGTAAGTCAGTAAACCACTCTCTGCAGGAGACAAGTATCAGAGGGGTAGCCGTGTTAGTCTGGATCTGTAAAAAGTGACAAAGAGTCCTGTGGCACCTTATAGACTAACAGACGTATTGGAGCATAAGCTTTCGTGGGTGAATACCCACTTCGTCAGACGCATGCAGGAGTTCATGATAATGCTGAGAATCATCTGACAGAGAGAGTGGCAAGAGGATGACTGCCTTATCCGGTGACAAGGAGGCTCTGGTCAGAACTGGCAATACCAGTTTTACATCTTCCTCCTCATAAACTGATGGAGCTGGTTGTTGCGTGAGGGAAGAACGATAGGATTCTTGTGATGGTGCCTACTGCTGCCTATAGTATGGGTCCCAGAGGTTCCAGTAGGGCCAGAATGTGGGCGCCATCAGTTTGGGTAGGCCCCAGGGGAAGCGGTATCTGGGGAGGGGGTCACAGCTCGGCAAGGAAGGGGTGCCTGCGGGGAGGAGGTGAAACTGGCTCCTCTACATCCTGGGACTCCTCCGAGTCAGATGACAGTTCTGACTGAAACAGCAGGACTGCCGGTACCAGAGGGCCCTGGTCCAACGAACGGGGAAGGGGCCTTTCCTGCAGCAGGAGCAGCAGTTCATCCTCTGGTGTGGGAATGTCCCGGAGAATGGAAGGGCCTGCGAGGAGTGGGGATTGCGGGTACAGAAGAAACACCTCTGGAGACAAGAAAGTCTCTGTACATCCCAGAGTCCACAGGGTTCCCATGAAAAGCGACAAAGAGTCCTGTGGCATCTTATAGACTAACAGACATATTGGAGCATAAACTTTCGTGGGTGAATACCCACTTCGTCAGATCCCATGAGTCTGACGAAGTGGGTATTCACCCACAAAAGCTTATGCTCCAATACGTCTGTTAGTCTATAAGGTGCCACAGGACTCTTTGTTGCTTTTTACAGACTAACACAGCTACCCCTCTGATACTTGACACGGGGTTCCCATGGAGATTCTGGAGGGAGCTGTTCCCGTGGTCAGGCCTGGTCCGTCCACATAGTGTCAAGGCAGCACCATCCGAGTATCTGAACCTGCGCTCATAGACAGACATTCTAATAGTCCCAATACCAAGGTGACCAGCGATATCAACCGATCCCGCTTCTTCTTAGCCTTATCCTCCAGCACCGGGGTCTTTAGCACTGGTTCCATGGGACCTGTGCACAATATCTCACCCAACCTGGCACGGCTTGGGCAGAGAACATGTCCCTTATGAGCAGTTTGCTGCGGGGATCTGCTCTTGTGCCCACGAGAGTGTATCTTGCTCTCATGATGGGTTCTCTCCTTACTTTTAGCGCTGGCGGTTCCACACCTTGGCTCGTGCTCAGAGGGGCACTGTTGGGCTGTGGAGGCCCCTGTACAGGGGGTCTCCCTGGCCAGGATCCAAGTGTGTCTGGGGGTCTAAATTAGCTGTTATCATTCAAGGAAGATCTTGGAATCATTGTGGATAGTTCTCTGAAAACATCTGCTCAGTATGCAGTGGCAATCAAAAACACTAACAAAGTTAGGAAAGATAATAAGACAGAAAATACGATAATGCCACTACATAAATTCATGGAATGCTCACACCTTGAAAAGTGCCTGCAGTTCTGGGCACCCCATCTCAAAAAAGATATATTATACCTGGAAAAGCTACAGAGAAGGGCAATAAAAATGATTAGGGGGTATGGAATGGCTTCCACATATGAGAAGAGATTAAAATGACTGGGACTATTCAGCTTAGACAAGAGACAACTAAGGAGGGATATGATAGAGGTCTATAAAATCATGAACGGTATGGAGAAAATGAATAGGGATGTATTGTTTCACATAACACAAGAACCAGGGGTCACTCAAAGAAATTAATAGGCTGCAGGTTTAAAACAAACATAAAGAAGTACTTCTTCACACACCACATAGTCAACGTGTGGAACTCGTTGCCAGGGGATGTTGTGAAGGCCAAAAGTATATCTGGGTTAAAAAAAGAATTAGGTAAATTCATGGAGAATAGGTGCATCAATGGCTATTAACCAAGATGGTGAGGGACACAATCCCATGCTTTGGGTGTCTCTAAAAGTCCAACTGCCAGGAGCTGGGACTGGACAACAGGGGATGGATCACTTGATAAATTGCCCTCTTCTGTTCATTCCCTCTGAAGCATCTGGCAGGCACTGGCTACTGTCGGAAAACATGATACTGGGCTAGATGGACCATTGGTCTGATCCAGTATGGACATTCTTATTTCTGCTATGAAGTGTCAGGCCAGCATCAGGAATGGAACTAATTGGTATGTTACTCTTAAAAACACAGTACAAATGTAATAGCATCCACTATTTAAAACTAACAAAACCCAAATACAATTACTTACTTTTATCTTCCACAGAAGGACAATAAATACTACACTATGGAAATGTCAGTTCTTAAATACTCTGCATTCTAGCACATAATAGCTTTATGAATGCTCTTTGAAGCACTGTCATCTACTCTATGTTTATATAGTGCCTAGCACAATGGGTCCAACCTAGTTGGCCTCTGGTTGCTACTGAAATATAAATGTTAAGTAATAATAATAGTACTCACAAGAGAAGTGTTGACATGTCTATGAAGGTACAGACTTCCCGAGCACGTCAACGAGATCTCCTTTGCAATTTGTTTATCCGTGATCACTCCAAAGTGTATTGTTCCAAGATAATCTGAAAGGGTACATTTTCAGTTTTAATAAAATTTTGAAACACTGACGGAGAAGAGTATGTTAATACTGTTATATCCCTTTAAACAATACTGAATTTTATCATAATAATACTTAGCAACTATGTAGTGCTTTTCACCTGTAGATCTTTAAGTACTTTACTAAGGAGGGTAACTATCACTATCTCCATTGTACAGATAGGGAAACAGAGTGGCAGAAGGCTAACCTCATGTCATGCAGCAAGACATGACAAAACTAGAAACAAGAGAATTATATTGGCTTACTCCATTTGTTTATAAGAACAGAATGATCAGAAACATAGATAAACATGATATGTTGGGGAAGAGTCAACATGGCTTTTGTAAAGTGAAATCATGCGTCACCAATCTATTAGAGTTCTTTGAAGGAGTCAGCAAGCATGTGGTTAATGGTAATCCAGTTGCTAGTATATTTGGACTTTCGAAAAACCTTTGAAAAGGTCCCACACTAAAAGCTCTTAAGCAAAGTAGGCAGTCATGGAATAAGAGAAAAGATCCTGTCATTGATCAGTAACTGGTTAAACCATAGAAAACAAAGGGTAAAAATAAATAGTCAGTTTACACTGAAGGTGGAGTCTTCCGAAAGGTGTGATGTAAGTGCATGAGGCGAGGGGGGCGGGGGGTCGTGACAGGCACTCTGGTCTTGGTTATGATCTGGTCTATGACAACATTCATAACCTGACATCTGTCTCTCGGCATGTAAGCCCTTGCTGTGATGGACCTGGCAACCTGGAGCCAATCATCGAGGTACAGGAAGATGGTGAAACCACATCATCTGCTATAGGCTGCTCCAACAGAGAACACCTTAGTAAAGACCCTGTGGGTGGCAGCAATGCCAAAAGGGAGTACTCTGTGCTGAAAGTGGTCGGGGCCAACTATGAATCTGAGAAACTGTCAGTGAGTGGGGTGAATGTCCATGTGAAAATAGGCATCCATGCTGAGAACTGTAAACCACATATCTTTTTCCAGGGATGGAATTATAATAGATGCCACCATGACCACGTGAAACTTGAGTTTGTGAATAAACTGGTTGAGATAGCAGAGGTAAAGAATGGGTCTCTAACTGCCTCTCTTTTTGTAGACTAGGAAATATGTCAACTAAAACCCCTCCCTTGCTACTGAGGAGGAACCTACTCTATCTCTCCTCGCTGTAAGAGAGATACCACTTCTTGTTTGAGAATGCTCTCATGAAAGTGGCCCAGAGCGGAGGTGGGGAAGGGGGTAGTTGAAGGGTAGGAACACAAACTATCATAAGGGAATTGGTCATAATTTTAACAATGATGAACAATAAGCCCAGTTCTTTTCTCAGCAACAGGACATAGGGGTGACTCCCCGGAAATCCTAAGTGCTACATAAAGAAAGGAAGAAAAAAAACTGTATCTCCTGCATAACCATGGTCAGATTTGGGCATAAAGGAATTGGCTTGTACATAGTGTGTGTTCCTAAACCACTAAATCTGATGGGAAAATATCATTTCTGAGTCATAATATAACATTTTAAACATCCAATTTTCTTAATGGCAAAAATAAAGTGTCATGTGATATTTGTTTTATAATATTTATATTTTCTTTAACAAGAAACTAGTTTTAAAGTTACACCTTTTGTCCCATGTTCACATTATACGTAAAAATTTTAACTCAAATGTAAACTCGCAGAACTCCAACTCAAGCACACCAACATTTCCATTCAGCTTTAAACGTTACCTACATAAGTTAGGTACAAATATATTTATTGACTAACTCATCAACTATTCACCTTCTACTCCTGGTGGAATTTTGCACCAAAAAAATAAAAATTCTGCGCACAATATTTTAAAATTCTGCATATTTCATTTGTCAAAATAACACAATATAATTACACCAGTTTCAATTATTTTTGGTCATTTATTTCATAAAAGCTATCAGCAAGTCTATCTAACAATACAGACAACAAAAAAGATTCAGGAAATGTTTTTTTGACAGATTCCTTACTAGGCATATTAATACAGAACTCTGAGTTAATAATTAATTTAAACTACAATACAGAACCGTATTTCCCACATACCTCAGAAGCAATACAAAGGCTTGGGGGAGTCAGGGATAACAGAAGGAAGCAAATTGCTGTGAAGGAGCCTGGGTGTGAACTTGGAGGGCTGTTGGGTATGGGTGGGAAAAGTATGGAACATGTTTGTTTGGTTTTGGGGGGGGGAGGGAAGGGAGGGATTGTTAGGGAGCTTCCCCAATGCAGACCCTGGCTGACCCCTAGCCTTTCCCATTCAGTCAGATACATCTGCCCCGTTCCCATGTGTCTCTGTGCCCTCACCCAGCCACTCCCCTGTCCCTATGTAGCTCTGCACCCCTCCCCGATCACCATGTGTCTCTGTGCCCTCACTCAGCCACTCCCCTGTCTCTATGTAGCTCTGGCCCACCTCCCCCTGTCCCCGTGTGTCTCTGCATCTCCCTCTTCCCATGGCCCTATGCCTCCACTCCCATTCAGCCCCCACCTCAGTCTGTCCTCCCCCCCACTAGCCCTTATGAGCCCCTGTCTGACCCCCCTCATCCTCCAGCATCCCACAGACCCTGTCTCCTGGCCTGGCCTGACAAAAAAAATAGCCATCTGCGGGGCTCATTAAATATGTGCATGCAAAGTGGCACATAATTCCCCCAGGAGTACTCTTCAAAAGATTTATGGATTAACCAAAAGGATTTGTATTGCTTTTAATCTGGCTCAGTGAAGAAGTCTGACTTATCAAACAAAATAAGTCTGCCTATGTAACTCTATAATGTGTATTGTAGCATCATTTCAGAGTCACATTTTCTAATACAGCTACATCTTAGTACCATGTTGAACACACAAAATGTTACAAACTATGAATGGTGAGAGTCACAGTTCTGGCACCATGAGATCCTTTTGACTTACTGCTGCAACATCACAGCTCAGAATTACACAAGGTACATTATGAACACACAGAAGTGATATCTCTGTGTTAAACCAAGTGATAAACCGCATAGCAGTGCCTTTATCATGAATCTCTGATGGTCTCAACTGACTCCATCCACTAGTTAGTTCCCTTCTGCCAAGACAACTGCTTTATCAGCTTTTTAAAAATAATATCTCACTGAAGCCTTCCAAAACATAAAACAAATATCACTTCCAAAGATAATGTTTTGGTTTAAACTGAAGTGAATATATTCTAGTTTTACTACGTCTCTCCTAGCCTCCCCTTGACGATCATAGTCCTAATTCAGCATAATTATGACTATGTGAACAGTCCCACTGAAGTCAACAGGACCACTCACATGCTTGAAGTCAAGCACCTATTAGTTATGCTGCTGAATCAATAAGGGGGATCAAATGTCCCAAACTCCAGCAGCTGGTTCCCACAAGGCAGTACTTTTCCAGCCACTTGGTCACAAAGAGTGGCCATCAAAAGAGTGCAGCTGCCATAACTGTCGTATTTCATTACTATCATGGATCCACAGGATCGGTGCTACAGTTTTTAAACAGTCTCTTGGAGGAAACCTCTTGGAGGAAAAAGACATCTGTAATTTACACAAATAATCATAAAATCATCTAGGATTTTAGAATAGTTCAAAAAAGCCAAAACTGAAAAAGTCATTGCTGATGACATCTATCTCCAGTGCTGCTGCTGTTTATTTCCAAGCAAGGAGTCAGGAAAGGAGCATTTAAAGATATCTGTACTAGTCAAATGTAATTGTTTGTGGAGGGCAGGGAAGAGGGAGAGAAAAATTGCCAGCTAAGCACCTTATATAAATCCAAATCTGGAACTATGAGAGTTTCCAGTTGTTAGTCACCGAAAGCAATTTATAGAAACAGCTGACAAATGGGAGTTAAAGATTCTTAAAAAGGTCACCTCAAGAAAGAATTGCATAGGCACACAAACAATCCATTGGATTTAGATAAAGAATTGAAAACCTACATACTTTAGAATCTGAAATTTGAGTAGGGCTTTAGGATTGCCAAGCCACATCAGAGTGATGATGGGAAGGTAACAATACCTTATAAGATGATGATCTAAAAGTTAGTTTGCATAATATTTACAAGTAAAAATTTACTTATAAGGTGCTTATGTTGAAAAACAAACGAATGCATATAATTTAACACACCAAATACCCTTACATACAAGTGCATATATTCCTAAAAATGCTTTCATCACAATGGCTTCCAGGATTTACTTGGATCCCACAACTGCACTACTCCATTGCATAGAGTCAGTGTTTCATAGTATGTAGGATTCATGTGGAGTTTGGGTGACAAGACCTCAGACGTCACAGAGTTGATTCTTGGGCTAATTTAAAATTCTCATACATATCTGAAAAGCATACTATTATGGTTATAACTAATGAAAGAAGCTTTAAGTGACTAAGTCTGAGGCACTTGGGGCATCTGGACTTCACACACTGATTGGGACCTTGTCATTTTTGCTAATTATGTAAATTAGGATCCCATATACTGAACTATTTAGTATAATTTTCAAACATATTAAGTTGCCTGTTTCACTCTTCAGAATGTTGTGTTGATGAGGTTCGTGGGGATACCTTGAAAATTGATAGAATGTTGAGTGGTGCAAGGTGTTCCTAAAACTTCAAGAACAGCTCTGGATATAAAGTACTCTTCATTGAAAAAATATTAGATTATATGAAAGGGTTACTTATAATAAATAATTGCTAATTACTGTAAAATTGTTATTTAATTTAGGATACTTTCTTTGGTAAACTGCGCACACACAATTTAAAGGATAGATAACCACTATCCATATATACGATTCACTAAAATAATCTGTTTATAATTGTAGCTTCTTACTAAACTATATCTACCTAAAAACATGGAATCTGAATAATGCTACCAGAGGGCTATACGTTGCTGAAAACTCAGGATCAGACCCATAGTAGGCAAAAGAGGCAGGTGAGTACAAAACTTGAATTTCACTACAAAACTGACTTTGCTACAATGAAACAAACACAAC